CCACTTGGCTTATTGAATTTAATGTGAATAAATGCCATGTTATGGAATGTGAAATTGGAGAACATAGACCCCACACAACCTATAAATTATGTGAGAAATCTTTAAAAAGTTCTGATAAAGAAAGAGATCTAGGGGTGATTCTAGATAGTAAACTATCATCTGAGGACCACATAAAGAACTTTGTGCGAGGAGCCTATGCTTTGCTTTCTAACTTCAGAATTGCTTTTAAATATATGGACGATGAAATACTAAAGAAACTGTTCACGACTTTTGTTGGGTCAAAGTTAGAATAGGCAGCGGTTGTGTGGTACCCATATCTTTTAAGAAGCACATCAACAAACTGGAAATGTGGAAAGGCATGCTGCTAAGTGGCTCCCAGAACTGAAAGGCAAGAGCTACGAGGAGAGGTTAGAGGCATGCCAAAACTAGAAGACAGAAGAAAAAAGAGGTGATATGATCACTTCGTACAAAATAGTAACAGGAATTGATAAAATTGATAGGGAAGATTTCCTGAGACCTGGAACTTCAAGAACAAGAGGTCATAGATTTAAACTAACTAAACAAAGATGCCGAAGAAACATAAGAAAAATCACTTTTGCAAATAGTGGTAGACGGTTGGAACAAGTTAGGCGAGAAGGTGGTGGGGGCCAAAACTGTCAGTAGTTTCAAAGCGTTATATGACTGAGTGCTGGGTAGACGGGACACCACGAGCATAGCTCTCATCCTGTAACTACGCTTAGGTAATTACTCAATGCTTTGGAAGTGATGGATAATCAACGAAGCAGTCCATGGTACACAGCGCAACTTCGCTCATGTTGCACCAGGAATGGATAAATTTTTGCTTCCTGTTTCTTTATTCTGTGTTTGCAAATAGCTCACTCATGTACACCCTTGACTTTAGTACCTGTAGGTGGTGTGTAGCCGAGCTTGTAAAGCGTAAGGTAGTCTTGAAAATATTATAGGAAACATTCAGTTTGTAAGGTAGTCTTGAAAAGATTGCTTTGTAAGGTCCCTCACTGGAAGTGATTGTCATTCTGGAAGAGATTGTCAATCAGGAAGAGATTCAGCCATTCTGGAAGAGATTTGGCTATTCTTGAAAATATCTATGGAAAACACCACCATGGAAGCTGCTAACACTGTTCATCTATATTACTCGTATCAGATGCATCATCACTGAACCCAGAAAACGATTCATCTATGTATCATCTATAAAAATTGGAGATGGCATGTGTGGGCAAAAGTGGCGCTCAGAGCTACAACTGGATTCGCTCGCTATATTGGCCTCATCGGTGCTGTATCACTAGCATCTAACCTTTGTGTTAGGTCGTTATTGTGCCTAGCTTCATCAATATCATGTTCTTCAAACAATAAAGTCTGAATTTCAGACAGAGCGATCACATCGCTCACCACCACATCGGACAAGTGTTTGGGAGCCAGAGGCGCGTGCACCCCCCATGGTTGCTCGCTCAATACTGTACTAACCCAGCCAGCAGCCCTAGGACATTCTAGGAATTTTTTCCGAAGATGGCTGCCTCTCACTGGAGGTGCCAAGAGTTCATTTTGTACATAACCTACCGCGCACACATTTTGAATGAGTATGAAATACAGTAATCAAAAGGTGTTTTCTCGGTTTGCGCAGTTCCCACCGACCGAGTTTTTTTGGTTGGCGTAGCACAGTGGTTAAGCCACTATGCCCAGTGTTAAGGAAATACTATTCAATTAGCTCAAAATGCAGAATATGGTTGAAAAGTGGCACCCAAACATTGTCATAGTTAATTGAAACATAAATGTATTCAATGATAATGTGTTTTGCTACTTAAGGCAGCTGCCCCGTATGGGCCAATAGCAGCTGCCCCGTATGGGCCAATAGCAGCTGCCCAGTATGGGCCAATAGCAGCTGCCCCGTATGGGCCAATAGCAGCTGCCCCGTATGGGCCAATAGCAGCTGCCCCGTATGGGCCAATAGCAGCTGCCCTGTATGGGCCAATAGCAGCTGCCCCGTATGGGCCAATAGCAGCTGCCCGTATGGGCCAATAGCAGCTGCCTTGTATGGGCCAATAGCAGCTGCCTCGTATGGGCCAATAGCAGCTGCCTCGTATGGGACAACAGCAGCTGCCTCGTATGGGACAACAGCAGCTGCCTTGTATGGGCCAACAGCAGCTGCCTCGTATGGGCCAATAGCAGCTGCCTCGTATGGGCCAATAGCAGCTGCCCCATATGGGCCAATAGCAGCTGCCCCGTATGGGCCAATAGCAGGTGCCGCGTATGGGCCAATAGCAGCTGCCTCGTATGGGCCAATAGCAGCTGCCGCGTATGGGCCAATAGCAGCTGCCTCGTATGGGCCAATAGCAGGTGCCGCGTATGGGCCAATAGCAGCTGCCTCGTATGGGCCAATAGCAGCTGCCTCGTATGGGCCAATAGGAGCTGCTTCGTATGGGCCAATATTAGCATTTGGCCATGAACACATTCAGAACACCTCGAGTGAGAGCAGCCACACCCAGGTAGTCTCCCTCACTCCAACATCTTACTCGCCATTAAACTAACTAAACAAAGATGCCGAAGAAACATAAGAAAAATCACTTTTGCAAATAGTGGTAGACGGTTGGAACAAGTTAGGCGAGAAGGTGGTGGGGGCCAAAACTGTCAGTAGTTTCAAAGCGTTATATGACTGAGTGCTGGGTAGACGGGACACCACGAGCATAGCTCTCATCCTGTAACTACGCTTAGGTAATTACTCAATGCTTTGGAAGTGATGGATAATCAACGAAGCAGTCCATGGTACACAGCGCAACTTCGCTCATGTTGCACCAGGAATGGATAAATTTTTGCTTCCTGTTTCTTTATTCTGTGTTTGCAAATAGCTCACTCATGTACACCCTTGACTTTAGTACCTGTAGGTGGTGTGTAGCCGAGCTTGTAAAGCGTAAGGTAGTCTTGAAAATATTATAGGAAACATTCAGTTTGTAAGGTAGTCTTGAAAAGATTGCTTTGTAAGGTCCCTCACTGGAAGTGATTGTCATTCTGGAAGAGATTGTCAATCAGGAAGAGATTCAGCCATTCTGGAAGAGATTTGGCTATTCTTGAAAATATCTATGGAAAACACCACCATGGAAGCTGCTAACACTGTTCATCTATATTACTCGTATCAGATGCATCATCACTGAACCCAGAAAACGATTCATCTATGTATCATCTATAAAAATTGGAGATGGCATGTGTGGGCAAAAGTGGCGCTCAGAGCTACAACTGGATTCGCTCGCTATATTGGCCTCATCGGTGCTGTATCACTAGCATCTAACCTTTGTGTTAGGTCGTTATTGTGCCTAGCTTCATCAATATCATGTTCTTCAAACAATAAAGTCTGAATTTCAGACAGAGCGATCACATCGCTCACCACCACATCGGACAAGTGTTTGGGAGCCAGAGGCGCGTGCACCCCCCATGGTTGCTCGCTCAATACTGTACTAACCCAGCCAGCAGCCCTAGGACATTCTAGGAATTTTTTCCGAAGATGGCTGCCTCTCACTGGAGGTGCCAAGAGTTCATTTTGTACATAACCTACCGCGCACACATTTTGAATGAGTATGAAATACAGTAATCAAAAGGTGTTTTCTCGGTTTGCGCAGTTCCCACCGACCGAGTTTTTTTGGTTGGCGTAGCACAGTGGTTAAGCCACTATGCCCAGTGTTAAGGAAATACTATTCAATTAGCTCAAAATGCAGAATATGGTTGAAAAGTGGCACCCAAACATTGTCATAGTTAATTGAAACATAAATGTATTCAATGATAATGTGTTTTGCTACTTAAGGAAAGTTTAAAAAAAAGACATCATTGGACAAGTTCTTTGCTAAATTGAGTGCTAGTGAATCATCAGCAAAGGGAATAAAATGGCAATGATTACTAGAATTGGAGTTACTGTACTGATCTTTTAATAGAAGGTGACTATATGGTAAATACTGTATATGGAAATGTGTGCACATGATCAATCTACTGTGTATCGTTATGAAACGAAAACAAGCATAAGTTTTCTTTTCTGGCAGGTAATTTGCAAAGCATGGTGCAAATACAGTACTCACAAGTTTGCCAAGGTGATCCCTGATACTTTAGTTGGTCCCAAAAGTTTTCGAAATCCAAGATGGACAACGCATTTTAATGTCATCAGAATGTTTACTGTCAAAGTATGGGTGACATGTTTTTAGCATCAACAGAACACTAAATTGTTAAGACACGTGCAAAAAATGACCTGTATTTATGTTTTCATAGGCATGTCTTTTTGTATGTTTATGAAACTAATGAAATGTTTGTGTTATCTGGTATAAATAAGTGTCCTCTGTTGCTGAATCGTGCTGAGGCTTCATGTATAATGGGGATTAACTTCCAGTAGAGAAGTGAAAACGTCTATTGGCATAATTCAAGAATCTTGAAAATATGGAACCTGATAGTGATGGTTCCACTGTAATTAGCATGTTGAGTGGGAAGGAACAGATAGTAAAGAAGAGATCTCACAGTGCAGTAAAGTCTCACTGTTGTCTCTTGGTAAAAATTAGGAATTTGATATATATATGTATGGAGTTGTAGTTGTAGTTCTGTATTATAATCCATTTTTGGGGCGTGTCAACTTTTGATAAAGAAGTGAGGAGGGATATCTTTATTTTAACATTTTAATTATTCTATTATTATTATTATTATTATTTGATTATTGCAATTATTCTTTCAGGCATTAAAGCAAGCATATGTGAGACATAATCAGGGAAGAATCTAGTACAATAATACTGTATATACAGTATGCTGTACATATATTTGCTAATTGGCAAGAAATGTCTAGGTGATCGGAAACTGCATATGCAAATAATTTTTGGGAAAGGTAATGCTGCACTGCTGTAAAAATTGCACTCCTTCTGTTTAGGGGATTGAATTCTATGGTTAGTTAAGATTATGAAGCTATCTACAGGCACATTGGATTACAGCTTATGTCCCATAACTTATTTTCTTTTCCACAGATTACATACCAAACATTGAGAAAGGGCGCATCCATTACTGGTCTCACACAGGAAAATGTGGAGTTCCCATTGAGTATGACGGCGTGCCCTTCATGCATGTGGGGCGCTGGGTCCTGATGTGTCATCAAGGACAGGACACCAACAAGCGCCACAAAGAGAAGTACCTGATGCGCAAACACAGAGAACAGCAGGTTAAGTTTATAGATTTATTGTTGTATATGCATGTTAATGTGCATAATAGTGTTAGCTGTGTGTTTTTAACCTTACTGTGATGTCTTCATTTCCATTGTATAATCATATTTTAATATGAAAGACCCCTGTCGGTTACCTGTGTATGATTCCAAGGATCGACATCCCTGCAAGGAGGCGTGGTCTCTGACCAGGCCTCCTTGTTGGTGGTCTGCTCAACCAGGCTGGTCTCGGCTTGATGTATGAGTCAGCTTTGGAATATTTACTAACAAGTTGCTAGGAAATGTTGATTCCCATTTCTGGGGAGGCTCCCTGGAGCTATCCAGGCTGATATGTATATATTAGCTTTCTGGCATTAGTCAATGTGCATGGAGCTCTTGCCTACCAGGGACCACGAGCCAGAACCTGGGCCCCTCAGAGAGGCTCGAGGAGCAATGATCTATTGAAACCCCCGTGTGGTTGGAAGCATTCTGTGTCTGCCATTGACCGGGTCTGGCACCCAGAAAGGTAGGTGCCCCAAAATAAACCTCTATTCTGGTGAAAAAATTGCTACCAAAAGCTGAACAAGTGGACAGAACTCTCCAAATGAAAACTACCAACTGGCATGAGGTCATCACGTTGCCACGCAGCTGTCTGCGCAAACCCCCCCCCCCCACCCCCTCACCCTCCCTGGGAGGGGTAAGGGGAAGCCCCAGACCCCTCACCCTCCCTGGGAGGGGTAAGGGGAAGCCCCAGACCCCTCACCCTTCAGTTCTTGGCTGATGTGGTACTGGCAGGTTGTGTGCCTCTGGTTTCGGATTTTGTTTCAGTTTCTGCTCTCAGTATTAGCAGCGACAATCCACGCCACAATCCTTGGGGCGTGGATTGTCTCTACTGGTGGTGTGCGAGCCAGGAGTAATATTCTTCGGTACTCTAGCTGCATGCACCTGGGGTTTGCTTCCCTAGATGCCCTGTAAGTACTGCCCTTGGGGCCACCTTCCACACGTCACCTTGGGGTCTACCTCTGCTTTGTCTTTTACTGTTCGGTATTTTGCCGCCCTTGGAATCAACTGGGGTTTTTGTTTGCCTTTGTTTGCCTTTGGGTAGGAGGTAGTTTTCGTCACTGATAGGGGTGCAGAGTACAGCACAGCTATTCATTACCTCTCATAGCGGCCGGCTCTGTTCCGCCTGGACACGTTGTCCTCTTGCGAAGGGTTTCTTTTTCTGTTTGTTTTTGTTGCCTGGTGGTGGCTGCCTCTTGGTTGGTAGTGCCCTGTTGTTGTTAGTTAGTCCTCCGCTAGACCCCCGCGAGTATACACGTCCCGGGGGTGCAGCTTGTAGCAGTTTGTTTGGTAGTTTTGGGGCGATGGTTACCTGTATCTTGCCTGTGCTTCCGTTAGTGTGTTACCAAGGCTACGGGGCCCGGGAAACCCCGCTGGGGCTCCGTGGTCTGATGGACCCTTGGGTCCCCCCTCTCTCTTCATGCGAGGTTGATGGTGGCTATGTCCCCTGTCTCAGGGGGACAATCACCGGTTGTGCCTCTGTCATGCTGCCTGTAGGGTAAGTGATTCTTTTGTCCTGGAGTCGTGCGATGTTTGTTGTTAGTACGTGCTCCAGTTCACCTAAACTACTGATCATGATATGAGGGGTGCAGGCAGCTGAGGCGATGCATGCTAGGTTTTGGTTGCTGCAATGCGATAAGTTGATTGCTTCCCCGGATGCCCTGAGACTGTCCCGTTTTGGTGATAGGGACCCGGACTTGGGGTCCCTATAACCACAACTTCGTGTCACTTCGACTTTGGTTCCGTCTACCCCTCCATGTCCTTTCCCTTCTGTTGGGGGCAGTTTCGGGGGAGTCCCCTTCCGGGGTGGCGGCAGACACATTTGAGCCTGGTCCTCTAGCTGGAGCTTTTGGGTCTGACCCGTGGGGCCCCCTTCTATCCTGCTCTTTCGGCAGCTCCTGCCTTTTCTCTAGAGGTGGGGGGTTTGGGGGATGGCTCGGCTTCGGGTCCTTGGAGTGAGGTTCCTGGGAAGGGTGAGGGGTTGACTTGGGGGCCTTGGGCCCCATTGGACCCCCCCTTTGTTTTTGTACCCTTGGAGTGGGCTTGGTGTTACAAGGAGTGGGGTTCTCTTTCGCTCCCTCCTTGTATGAATTGGATTCGGCGTCGACCCCTCCCCAGGTTTGGTTCCATGATCCTGTGGGTTCTTCAGTTCGGTATTTTCTGAAGTTTTCAGCTTCTTACGCCCTGTTCCATTTGGGGTGAGAAGCCCTTGTGGCTTACTTCCTGCGTGACCCGGATTATGCTTTCGTAATGGATCCGCATTCCTTCGTGTACGGATCTTCTTGTCCTTATTGGGTTCGTTATGAAGTTCCGGAGTCGTCCTGGTTAGCAGACTGCCTCTTTTCTCATTGGAGGCTTGGCATTGGTTCTGTCGGTCCTGCCCACTTGAGTGGTGGGAGGCTCAGACAGCGTTTCAGGTTTTCCTGGGGGGCTACTTCGGGCAGCTCCATGTACAGGTTCTCTCTCTCTTTCAGCTGCATTGGTCATCGAGGACTTGTGTACACGTGGCTTGTTGGCTTCGGCTCTGCGTTCCTTCTCCCTGCTCGAGCTGTCATTGGACTGGCTTGAGTTGGATGTGGAGGAGCATGGGGCCGCCTCTGGGTCTGGTGCTTTGCCCGCGGTGGCGCGTGCATTGTCTGTCTTGTTGAAGTAGTTCGCGCCTATCCTGCGGGATGCGGTTTCGCGTTTTTTTGCTTCCCGACTCTTGTGTTGGCAGGCGGTGCTCGCTTTCTCTCTGGAATTCACCTGGTCCCTGGCTCTTAGGCTTTCTTTACCTTTTTGCCTGTTACTGTTTGCGGAGTCTGCGATTGTGCAGTATCTGCAGGCAGCTTTGGCTAGTTGCCATCCTATGTCGGACTTGCTAGTCCTCCGGGGGGCTCGTGGGGGACCTTCCCAGAAGGGTCATGCCAGGGCTCGGGGTTCTTCCCATCATGGTATACCAGAGGTGGCAGATTCAGAGCAGGTGCACCCTTTGGTGCCGTCTGTTTCTATTTGGCACGGGGATCGTCCTGTGCGCTGTTTAAGCACTAGTAAAGTGCGTCAGCCCTTTCGCGGTTCGTTCCATTGCCGTTGCGGTGGGGGGAGGCTCGCTCTGTTGGCTCGTGCCTGGTCCCGCGATTTGTGGGTCTCTCGGGTCATTTTGTGCGGCTTGCAGTGACATTGGGTGGCTCCTCCTTGGGGGTGTTTGGGGCTAGCGGGGCTGCCTGGTGTCCCCTGGACCTCGAGGACGCAAATTGCCAAGTCCTGTTTCATCCGTGTTCTGGGAATGGCTCAGTTTTATTGTGGGCATCAGGGTTACTGCTTTCGTTGCCTTCCATTCGGCTTGAATCTGGTGCCTCGCGTTTTCACACGCTGTACTCGAGTTATGGTGGCCCGTCTGCGACTGTTAGGTGTGCGGGTTTTGGCTTACCTCGATGATTGGCTGGTTTGGGCTCCCAGCCAGTCCACGTGTCTGCTCGCCAGGAATTTGATTCTTTCCCAACTCTCCCAACTAACTCTACCAACTTTCTCAACTCAGCTGGGTTTGAGTTCCTGGTTAACAGGCAAAAATCCCATCTGGTTCCCTCTCAAGTTCGGCCTTAGCTGGGTCTTGTGTGGGACGCTCGGACTGCATCCTTGTCTCTTCTTCCGGCTGCTCTGCTTTGACTGCATTTCCGTCTTCGTCTGTTCTTGAGGGGGCTCCCCTGGTCACGCGGCAGTTGCTCTAGGGTTTGTGCGGGAGATTGAACTTTGGCATGGTGGTCTACCTGCCTGGTCGAGTGCGGCTTTGTCGACTGTTCTAGTTCCTTCAGGACATCCCTTTTGCCTTTCTCGCGACCGCTGGGTTCGGCCTCTGGGGTCTTTGCGTCGCTTGCTGCACTGGCTTCCTCTTCAGGTTTTTCGGGGTTCATTGTCTTGACGCCTACCCGAGCCCTCACTAGATCTGTTCACGGACGTGTCGTCTCTTGGCTGGGGCTCTGTGACCAGTGCTCACCAGGCTAGCCAGGAACAGTGGGGTCCATCCTTCCGTCGAGCTCACAGCACGTGCGGGAGTTCACAGCTGTGTAGATGTCGCTCCATAGAATTCAGGACGCTCACGGATCGACGATCTGGCTCCATTTGGACTGTTCCCTGGTGGTTCATTGCCTGAACTGTGGGGGTTCAGTGCGGTCCTTGGGTCTTTGGGGCAGGTCGTTTTGGGTGACTACTCGTCTGCTGAGTTCTCGGGGTTTGGCTCTCCTGGCGGTTCACATTCAGGGGGTGTCCAGTGTCCAGTGTCCTGGCGGAAGGCATGTTTTCATTCCCCTTTCCATGGAGTCAATGCTGACTCATTCAGTTGGCTCCGGACGTTCAGTTCAGTTGCCAGACGTTTGGGCCTCCGGAAGTGGACCTCTTCACATCGGCGTGGTCGAGGCAGCTTCTGGTATATGTGACACCCTTCCCTGACTGCGAGGCCGTTGGGGTTGATGCCTTCAAGCAGGACTGGATGAGGTGGGGTTACCTGTCCATCTGGTAATAATCTGGTAATCTGTCCCCCTGGTTCAGCTGTTGCTCCAGGTCCTAGCTCGCTTGGAGACTTACCAGGGGAGAGTTGTCCTTCTGACTCCTTGGCGGCCAGCCCAGCCTTGGTTTCAGGCGCTGCTTGCTTGGTGTCCAAACCCGAGGGTCTTCCCGCGGCTCCGCCTCTTTCAGCAGATTGGTCTAGCCCGATACGAGGCAGGTTTGTTCTTCTCCTCTAGTCTTCACGTCTGGAGTTTGACGATGGTCGATGCGTCTATTATCACTTGAATGGGGCACAGGTGTCCTTGTTGTTGGTCGCCCACCTGTGTGCTTCGTCTCGGTGGCAGTATGAAGTTTCCTTCAGGTCCTTCAGGTTTTTCCTATCACTGTGTAGGTGTACTTTGGTCTCTGATAGAGTTGTTTTGTCCTTCCTTTCGTGGTTGTTCCTGGACCGTCATCTTATGCCTAATACTGTCGCCTCG